CAGATTCACAAGCCCGAGCCATTCTGGTAAGGAATATTCTTGTTTATTCCAGCTCGAAATGAGTCGGCATTTCTTTGTCAAACACAAAGCTTTGAAATGAATGATGATGGTGGGAAAATCTCAGGATAATTTGCAAGAATTGCTAATAAGTAGATCTATCTAGTGTTTAAGGTGAAACTATTATTTTAATACTTTCTTCTTTAGAGTTCTGTAGACTCAGAAACTCCCCCTGGCAACACCTTGTATTCTGCATGTCTCTGAAAAACAGTTTATAAGGAAGAGTAAACGGAGGGTGATTTTGATAGGAAGAAAAGGTGCCTGAGGACAGGATGGAGAGGTTGCTAAGGCTAAGCTTTGTGAGGACTGAGACCAAAGTAAAGAAGCCTTGCTCTGCCCCACAGTCCCTAGAAAGAACCAAAGGATACAGCTTGTATGTATGCCTTGAGTCCCAACTTTCTTCTTTCTTGGGTCCATTGAAATGGCCGCTGTGGCAGGGCCCCAACCTCAGAGTGGTATCTAACCTTCTTCCGGGTCTGCATTGGTCCTATTGTTGGCTATAATTGGGCAGGAAGCTAAGGCAGACCCTTGTTTCACTGCCTTAGTGATGAGTGATCGGGAACACCCCCTTAGGTCAAGAGGAAGCACTGGGATGCTTCTTCTCACCTCTGCACCCTGAGTGGTGGACTGTTGACTTCAGTCCCAGTGGTTGTGAACTGGACGTTGTGGATTTGACATTCCATGTGGGGCAGGGACACAGCCTGAGCCCCAGAAGGGGACACTCAGTCTCTCAGGGGTGACCGTCAGTAGTGGGGAGACCGAGGAGCAAACACATCCCCTGGTGGACCACCAGCTGGAAGTGTGTGCTGCCCCTGAGTGAAGCCACATAGGCATACTCGTACACTGGACATTTTTAAAGGGAACTGTGATTGTGTCTGGCACTTAATAAAACTGGCTGTTTAATTTGTATCTCTGCGCTCACCAGAAGGTTGAAGTTGGTGACTGCGTGGGCTCCCAGCCGTGTCCGTTCCATTATCTAGGGGGCCCTCGGCCACAGTGTCTTTGAGCCCAACCTTCCTTGTCCTTTAGCTGATTTCCCCCGCACTTTCACCTCCTCCTTATTTGATGCCATGAAACCATCTCATGTGATCCCTCTTGTAATTAATATCTGGAGTCATATCAGCTGCCATAATAGCTCTCGCGAGCTCTCGAATCGTGCTTGTTTGTGCCATTCAGCCTGTGTCTCCGGTGCTGTGAGCAATAAAGCAGAAAGGAGTCTTAGCTTGTCATTTGTCCCCCACGCACAGGGCTCCCTGCCAGCACCCGTGAGTCGCCACCAGCTTTTCATCTGAACACCCTGTCCAATGCCACATACAGCTTTGTTTAACATAACTGTAGAAGCTGTTTTGTACTTTTAAATCTAGATTGGAAAGGGAACAGGACATTTACATAACAAATTAGTGTTAGCCCTGTAACAGATCTAATCTCTGTTATTGGGCCAGCGAGTAAACGAAGGAACAGAGAAGTTAGCTAACTAACTACCAGTTATCCTCACTTCCAGTGAGTGCTCTGTGAGCTTCCACCCCCAAGTCTGAGCCCACTCCCGGGTAACAGATAAGAAACACATGATCGGGCTGGCCGAGTGGCACATTGGTTAAGAGCTGGCTTGAGATGCCAGAGGGCCCTGGTTCGGATCCCATATATGAGGGCCAGTGACACTGCCCTCCACAGCTAAGATGCTGAACAACAGCTCAACCTGGAGCTGGGCTGCTATGAGTCGCCAGCAACGGCGTAGGCTGCAGCCCCTGTGGCAGTGGGTTGCCATGGGCTACCGTGTGTAGCCAGCAGCCAGCGTGAGCGGCCAGCAGCCTCAGTGAGCGGCCGTCCAGAAGCCAGCGACTGATCTGCCTCACCCTGGAAGAGTGCAATGATGGTACCAACCTGGGCCAGTGAAGCAACGTCCCCCACAACTAGACTGAAGAACAAAAGGACAGCAACTTGTCTGTTCCCCTTCCTCCAATTCCCCAGCGCTGTTCCCATTCCCCAATTCCCCAATAAAATTCTTTAAAAAAAAAAAAGAAACACATGATCCCCTGCAAATGCTTATGGATTTTGGTTTGTTTTCCGGTAGAGAGAAAGACTGGGACACCCACCAGACAGACACATCTTGTCCAGTTTTCACGAAATTATTTTCCAGCGACTTCCCCCAGCTGGAGGCTAGCTCCCTTCTGAAGTGGTCCAGATCTTGAACCAGGCCACAGACCACAGAGAAGCTGAGGTGCTCTCTGCTCACGACTCCTCACTCTGACCTAATGGCAAATGCAAATGACTTCAGGAGCCAGGAAAGTGTGTCACCAGGTCAGGTGGCTGGGGTAGGGCTAAAGGCATGCCATGAGGGCAGGGACTTTATCTTTGTCTGCTGCTTGTCCCAGCACCTGGAGCAAGGCCTGAACACTATGGACCCCCAATAAAATAGGTAGAATGAGTGGTGGGGACTCTAGAAAACTGGGAGGTGGTTATCCCACAGATGGCACTCTTGTCTAAAATGCATGCCTCTGGGCAGTGTTTGGCTTTCGGCCTGCAACTCCTGTGATTGAGTAAACCAGGCTGTTTACAGATTGAATGGAACAGTGACTACCAAGCAACATCGATGTCCAACTTACTGTTTAGATAGTGTATGTTCACCTAGACTCAGGATGCAAATAAGCACCGTTTAAGTCCTTCCATTAATAACCTTGGCCTGTTAATGACCCTGGACTAACTGGAAATTGGTGTCGATGTTCACATTTCCCATTCCATGTTGCTGTGATCCCCTCCCCCCTTTGTTTTTTTAAATCTCTTAGTCTTATGTCTTTCTTTTCAAAAGATGTACAAGGACACCTCTTCTACCAAATAAGGGGCAGACTTTGTACATACATGCTTTATTTCTACATACATGCAAATAACAGAAGGGTAACAAATCTGCTTTCATATATAAAACATTGCCTTTTCTAAAATAGACGTAAACACACAGTGGCAACTGTTTCATGCCAATCATCTTGAACCCAATTCATCTCCAAAATCTGCCACCTTGAGATCCAGGGTCCTGGATAATGGAGGACAGCCTCTGAAAGGTTCTCCTAAGGTGAAGAGCTGGCCCTGGCTGCTTGCTTGGACACACTGCCCTTGTTCTGGTGGGTCTGTGTCTCCTTCCCTTCATCACCTTCTGATATCCCAAACCCATTTTTTTTTTTTTGGTTTGTAGCGAAGCCCCTTGAATCAAAAGCAGTATAACTGTTGGGTAAGTCAAACAACTGCTGTGACATAGACGGGCTGGAGAGGAGCCCACTGGGCACATGTGCCCTATAGATTGACAGGTATGAGACCAGGTGCCCCAGCATGGAAGTGTAGAGCCAGCTTCTAGACTGCTGGATGCAGCACTAACTTGTCACTTAGACACTTCGATTCCCTAGTGCAGTGGGAGGGCTTTAGAAAACATCCTCAAGTGAGACAAAGCCTACAGCAGAATCTACTTGGAGGAACAAACTTGGCAAAATCAAACCACAGCTATCATTAATATTTTAGCCAGGAAATATGAGTCAGAAGGTACCAAAGGCATTAAAATTCTAGGTTTTCTTGAAACATTTTACTGGTCAAAACAAACAAACAAAAAACCAACTAAACAAACAAACAAAAACATGCCTGTGGGCAATATTTGACTTCCAATTTATAAAGCCTGTGAGGAGGTAAACAAAGTTGATCCTAGGTGGAAATCATTACTGTCAAGCAACATTGATCTCCAGCTTATTGCTTGGTGCTATATGTTCAGATGAATTCACAGATGCAGATAATTCATTCTGGTTGAAGACCTTCTACTCCATTAATGACCTTGGCCCAGACCTGGACCGATTATAATTTTGAGCCATGAATGAATGTAAAAACTAGAAGCGACTTGTGTCAGTTCAGCCCCATGTAATTCACATGAACATGAATATGTTCAGCCACAAAGAACAGAAAATTTGGCCAACAGTGGCTTCAACAGATAGGGAATTATTTTTCTCATGTAACAACATGTTCAGAGGCAGGTGGTGACTCACGGTGGATGAGTTGATCCTCTGGTTGAGCTACCTGGGCACAGGCTCCTTCAGTCTTTCTGATCCACCTTACTCTGAATTTTGGTATTCATCCCCACTTTTGTCATAACTGCACATCTATAATCAAGGAAGGAATGGGGAGGGAAGGGGAGAAGCATCAACTGCATCTATTCACCTGTTAGGAAAACAAAAGCTTTTCTAGGAACTCCTCAGTAGGCTTTCCCTTCAGGCTCACTGCTCAGAACTATGTCACATGACTGCCCCTAGCAGCAAGGGAGGCGGGAAAATAGAGTATTTTTCTGTTCAGCATCTATGGTAGAGGACAGCGAGGGAGAATGGGCCTGAGAATAGGTGCGTGTGAGCTAACATACAGTAGCTACCAAGGCACTGCAGAGAAACTCTTTTCCAATACTCTCATTGTAGAGATGACCAAACTGAGTTCCAGAAATGGGAAGTAACTTGGCCAAGGTCCCATAACAGGATGAAGTGAGAGCCAGAACCAGAGCCCAGGTCTCCTGACTCCCAGTCTAAAGAGCTACCCACTGGACCACATCATGGATGTAGTTTGACATAGTCTGTGACTGAAGCTCTGTTGAAGATGTAGCATATCATCCAGAAAATGAGGCGATGGATATAAAACTCTCAGCAGTGGGCAGAGGATATAGTAGCTTCCACTTGACCTTCTCCTTCCTCCCTCCCTAAGAATCTGGAATGATTCAGCATGAGTCACAGAATCTCGGCCAAGTCAAATCTGCCCTCCTCTGAGCTTCCCCTGCCGTGTTTACCTTTTCATTCCTTTGGCACGTTGATGTTTGTGTGTGTTACAATGGAAGCGATCGCATGATGAGCACCACGATAGGGTAGAATTGCCATGTTGTTGTTAATGTGCTGTTCTTGTCTTCTGTCTCCTTCTGTGATTGGACCAAACAGAAGTATTCTGCTGTTTCTCTCTGCAACATCTCCACAGAAGTCCTGAAAGTCATCAACGCCACGGAGGAGTTGATAGCAGAGTCTACAGGGCCCTGGGAGTGCCCACCTGTCCTGCCTGACAGAGAGAAAGGGACGTTTCCTCTTGGGACAGACCAAGTGAAGCTGGATGAGCAGCTGACTTCCCTGGAAGAAAACGTAAGTCGGTGTGGACGTGCCCTGTCTAGAGCAAGCGTGCAAGAGGCAGCAGATGAAGTCGTGACTCATCTCACACACACAGTATGGGGACACAGACACACCACCCTAACAAATACATTCTTGGCAAGGGTCCTAGGCTGGGTCCCCAGAAGCAGATCCTGAGATGAGGGTTTGTGTGTAAGTGACTTAGTAGGGAGGTGTTCCCAGGGATGGCTGGTAAGGGAGTGGGGAAAGAAAGCGAGAGGGGGGAAACTTAACAAAGATACGATCTTAGACAAAGAGTAACTTCTACCTGACCCTGCAGGGAACTCTGGGGTTCAAGTTGCGTCTCAGAGTTGTTCTGAGGGAAAGGACTGGCCCTTACTCCAGCCAGCAGGCACCTCGGGCTGTCTGCAGGTAGGCTGAGGGTCTGCAGGGGCCCAAAGGCTGTCTTCTGTCTAGATCTGAGCTGGTGGCAACGAAAGCACACTGAAGCTTGGGGGGCGGTGGGGCGTGCAGGGCAGGGAGTATGCAGAATCTATAACCAGGATCTGTGGGAGTCCAGGTGGAACATTGTTAGGCTCACAGGAGGAAATGAGGGTGGTAGCCCACAGAGCGGAGGTTACTACAGCTGGCCTGCCCCGCTTCACAGGCACGTCCCCTGGTGATGGAATTTTCTATCCTTCTGACTTGTGAGGGGAAAAAAAGAATGTAATAGCATCTTACATATAAATACTCACAACCGTTGTTAAGTATTTCAGTAAAGATCCCATGAGAATTTTCCAGCAATGCAGACCAGGAGCGACCCAGAGAGGTATGGACGTTAGCCACTCAGGCCATCATCACCATCTCCAGGTGGCCTAGTCCTGCCCACAAAGCTGGTATCAAATCCAGTCAGGTGATTCCCCCCTTCTCAGGCCCAGCAGAATCAACCCTGATTTGGGGGTGCTCGAGTGAATGCTGTTTGCAAAAATCAGAAACTGTTATTAGAGGACATTTTGGCTAAAAGTTGAAACAACAATTCAAAATGACTTGAAGTTTTTTTCAAAAGTCAGCATGTCTTTCACTTTAAAAGTTGAAGAGCCTCTCCCTTTGGGTCCCCATAAAACCTAAACCTGTGTCTCTCTGACCTCCGACCTCACTTTGCTGTCCTCGCTGTTCTGTCTCCCCTTAGCGCGGCACCGCTGACATTTAGGGTTAGATAATGCTCCGTTGTGAAGGGCTGTCCTGCGGGTTGTAGGATATTTAACAGCACTGCTGGTCTCTACCCAATGCTAGATGCCAGGAACAGCACTCTCTGAATTGTGACAATTAAGAAATGTCTCCAGACGTTGTCAGATGTTGGAGGGGGACGATGTGGGGAGGCTGGGGCACAGTCACCCCCGGGTTGGGTACCAGAGTCATAAATTCCTGCAGAACAGAGCCTGCCGGCTTTCCTATCTGTACCTCTAAGCCTTGGCCAGAAACTGACACAAAGCAGGTGCTCGAAGAACGCTTACCTGATGTATGATTACATCAGATGAATGAAGTGCTTTTTTAAAGGAAGACATGTTTTACTTCTAATGTGCAGGGTCTATGTCCCTTACATATGTCAATAGCACCGTTCTTTCAGAGCTGATAGTCTGAAAATGGCCCTAATCCGGGGCACACAGAATTGTAAAGGTTAAGATAAAGATATGGTTCACCAAGAAAGAGGCACATTTTTTTGTTTTTCGTTGGTTTTTTTTTTTTTTTTACAAAGTACGGTACCCAAAAAACTTACAATGTGTGAAATAACCCAGATTCAAATGGCAGCGGTCGGTTCTCACGGCACACTAAAAGCAAAGAGAATGTGCCTTTCTCTTCCCCCCAAGGAGCACGTTGAGAAATAGCCTCGTCGAGTGTTCATTTTGTAAGAGGCTTTGACTGTACAATATGTTTCTTTTCTTGGGTTTGTTAGCACTTTCAGTTTGAAACACATTCACTTACCCACTGATTCAAGAATTCGCTAACCCCAGCGGGGACACATGCTGAGAAGCCAGCCAGGAGGTTGTCATTCACTGCTCCCCTGTCCGGCCTCCCTAAGATGCCTCCCCTGTCCCCAAAGAATTAACCGCCTTCTTCCTCCTTTCCTTCCCCCGCTCCAGCTTTTCAAGTTTCACCTCAGGAGAAACTCCGTCTATGTTCCTTTGAATTCTGTGGATTTTTGAGTCAGAGAAGGGGTGACTCTTTTCTTTATCTCTTTAGTCCACCAGATCACAGAGCCTGGCTGGGCAGGTGGCTTTGCTCTGCGGTTTGCAGGATGGAATTCATTTGAGTGGCAGGAGAGGGCCCGGCTGGCTCTTCAGCTGGCCTCTGGGTGCCGCGGATTTAATTAAACCGTGCCTTTGTCTGTCTGCTCTGCACCTCACTCCTTCACTGCCTTCCTCCTTTGTGCGGAGGAACCCGGGGACCGTCAGAAATAGAAATGGCGACGCTTTTTCTAGCCCTCTGAACGTTGGCTACTGCAGATCGGGACCGAGATGAAGGAGAACATTTGCTTGAGGCTGTTTCGCCTTTAAAAATACTTCTGAAGGCTTCAGAGCTACATGAGATAAAAATGTCACATTCGTATGTTGAATCGCCTGTTTTCATAAACTGCCTTGTTCATCCACTTAATTAGAGAAAGGCATGGGGATTTCAGAATTCCCTTAGTCTCTCAGGTTTGACACGTCTCACCTGCTCTTGTCTCCCCTGTAGACGTGAGGAACCTCAGGCCAGACCCAGCCTCCCCTGCACACACAATGGGGGCTCATTTCCTTGCACTGAATGCCTTTTTGTCTCGGTGATGGTGATGCACTTGCTGAGAGCTGTGAAGCTAGGATTCTATTGTACCTGTTGGGGTCTGGCTGGGAGAGGAATTTCAGGAAAGGACGATTCACTGAGGTGCGGACAAGGTTAAGGGAAGCTGCAGCACCCCCAGAGTAGCCATAGGGGGAGCGGTCACCATCCCTAGGCAGTGTAGCCCAAGCACTGGAGCCTGGACGAGCGCCCCCTAGTGGTATCTGTCACCACGGAGCCTAGCAGCGTGGAGAGAGCAGGGAACAAAGATATTTCTACTTCTGTCTCTGATCTCCTGCTGGTGTTTCCCATTGGCCAAAACCACCCCAGCCAGCAAGGGAGGCTTGGTGATGAAGTACAGACAGGTCAGCCTCGCAGAGAACAGAACAGGACAGAGAGGGTAGAAAATGGATCTGGGGGTCAATAGAGAACCACTAGCGTGATCATGCTCAAACCTGTGGTGTGAATAGTGGGGTCCCACAAAGGCCACCTTGTGAATTTATGCAGGGTTGGGAGGGGGAAGGACAAATCGGCCCCTTCGCCCTCCCACTCCCATCTGAGGACCTTCCTCCTTCTCATCTTTGCGAAATGACAGAGACATTACGGTACCCCATAATTCCCAGCCACAGAGGCAGTAGAGGAACTTGTCCCAGCTCCCCTTGTATCTCTGCTCTGTAACTCTCACCAGCACCAAATATGCCATCATGTATTATACATGCAGTGGCCACAGACACAATGGAACTGCCCCGCCAGGAGCCCAGCTCTGCCGCGGAGGATGTTGGTCCTCTTTCTCAAGGCTCCCGTACAATGCCCACAGCACAGCAGAGGATGTCGCGCTTGAACCTGTGGAGGTGGTCATGTCCATTCAGGCGCTTCTCGGGCCTCAGAGAGCAAGAAAAGAAATGCTACCAGTTACCATCTAACTTTAGTCCCCTAAAGTGCATTTCATGGAGGCCAAGTCCAACAAGATGATCTAGGAGCAAATAAGTTTGAAAAATCTGTATGCTCTTTCTAGGAAAATTGAGATTCATATTAGCACATTAAAGACTCCGAGAAGCCCTGCAGTAAAGAAATCTGCTTCATTCTCTTTATTTTGTGGGCTTTGACCACAAAGTCCTTCCTTAATGGAACGCCCATGCTCAGCCCTTGAACCACTCTCAGAAAGGCTGGTTGAACCAGGAGCCAGTCAGTGGAGTCCTGGGCATCAGTGATGAAGGTTTGGAGAGCACATGGATGACTCAGACATGGTAGCCACCATTCTCACCAAAAGTGGACACTTACTAAGCAAGCGACTCCAGGCTCATGGTTTTCAATGGGTTATTTTTTTAAGGCTAGAATAGCACTTTCATTATATAGCCTGGTAACTCTTATTATTTCAGCCCAGCAGCAGACAATGTCATGTCGGCCTGTAACCACAATCACTCTAGCACCTGTATGTCACAGTTCAAAATGTAAAACGTAACGTTCCAGCCGAGATTCAGTATCACAGCATCACAGGGCAGGGGAGACAGAGGCATGGGATCTGGCCGCAGCCCTCCCAAGCTCCAATCCAGGCCCCACCATTTCCCAGCTGTGAGACCTGGAGAATTCACTGAATCTCCAGGGCCCGAGGTGCTCATCTTTAATATGGTGATTGTAAGAGTACTTCCCTCCGTGGTTGCCATGGGCATTAAATGAGATAAGTCACATAAAGCCCTTTGCCCAATAAATGCGTGTCGTCATCATCATCACCCTCGTTGCCATCTCTGCCATCTTCCGGTCCTTGAGGTGCCATCACCTTGGCCGAAAGTCCCTGTTTAGCTAGTGTCAGTGCCAAACCACAGATGCTCCCCTATTGCCAGGAAAGCAACTTTTAGGGAACTCAAAGCGACGGATGAACATTCTGGCCCGGCTGAGGGCTTGGAGCTCTCTCCTACTGCTTTGTCTTGTCGGAGGAAACAGAGAACATGAGCAGATGGCCATGTTGAGGACAAAACGACAAGGAGCTATTAAGCTGATACAGCCATAGAGTGTGATGACGTTGAGCTTTATGTGTTTCTGGAAAAATCAAGGTTCCAAGGTTCTGAGACCAAAGTTATATATGTCAAGTACTGTGTAACCATTGCCACACTCAAATTATTCCATTTAAATAACAATACCAAATTTTATTTCATTGTGCAAAACTATAAGTTTATATTTAGAATTATCTTATCAAAATAAATTTACTTTTTGAGTGTGGGTAGCAAAAGTGTAATATCTGAACTCAAAACTGTCCTGGCCATTATTCTCCTCTCCTCTCCCCTCCCCTCCCCTCCCCTCCCCTCTCCTCTCCTCTCCCCTTCCATCCCCTCC